GGTCTTTCTTGTGTGAGTCATATCTCTGCCCTTGATCCATTTATATAATTTCGACCTATCTTTCCCATATGGATGTTTTTTAGAGAGAGCTCTTTACGACATGTTTTCCCCTACAAATATCTGTTAAAAATTGGCAACTGGCAGAGGGATTATTAAAGTCTATTCCGGAGCGTGTGTCCTTGAAATCCTGCATGACCTCCCTCTTACAGTCGTAACTCCTCCTCTTAGGATGGCTAATGCATGTTCACTTTGGGCTTTTGCAAAACTTTCTCTAATTCTTTCACAAAATGCCCTACTATGAATTCTGAGGCAGTGGAGATGACTGTCCTATCACAGACTCCAAAGTGTAAAACTCAAATGATTTTTAAAGGTTATAAAACCCAGCCCTTTTATTTTATAGATGATAAAATGGATTTCATTGTCCCTCTGCAGCAGAGCTTGCCTTTAACTATTATTAAGATATAGGAAGTGGATTCTAATTTATCAACCTTGCTGGGAAGGCCTCTATTCCTAACACCCTCTCTGAGTGCCATCTTTTTTTCTCTTGGAGGACTATGGTAGCTCCCTCTGTCCTTGCCGCTACTGAACATGTTCCCCTGAGTTCTAAATCTCCACACTTTTGAATGAACCTGAGATCCTGTCATTCGTCCACTCCCAACCCTATGGAGGCCTCTCATTTCATTCAGAATAAAACTCAGATCCTTATAACATGCTATAAACCTTCCAACAATTCATAGCTCTAGCTTGCCAGCTGGTAACTAGTCTACTCAACCTTCTGAATGCCTCTCCCTCCCTGACTCGGAGACATAATGATCTGGCTCCTTGTAGTTCTTCTGACATGCTAAGCATATGCTTTAGGTGCCTTTTTCTCCTTAGGTTGCCCTCCTGGAACATCTTACTACTAGTTGTCCAGACCAATCAACCTCTCTCCCCACTAGGGCTGAATTCTTTATGAGGTCTCCTTTCAACATACCACCCCAATAATAATTACCCCTGCTCTCATTCCTACTCTAAATTTTCTATTATCAATAGCACTTATGTTTATATATGGTACATGTTTACCATATCTATGTATCTATTTTTAACACAAGCTCCATAAAAGAAAGTGTGTATTTTGAGTGGTGTAATCTCTGGTTGACTGATGCATCTTTGGCTGGTAATAAGAGTGACTGGTACACAATAGATTCCAATAAATATTTGTAGATGAATAATAATAGATTAAAGTAAACAGAATAAACCTGATATTCAAAATCCACAGTGAAGACTCTGACAAGATCCAAATTCTGAAATTGGTTTTGTATTTCAGTGATAGCACACCTTTCCAGTGTCACAAAGGTTTATTCACTGTATATGTTGCTGTGATAAAGCAACATGATCACAACTAATTCATAAGCAACTGCTTATGTTGACTTGTGCCTTCAGAGGGATAAGAGTCCATCACATCTGGGAGACATGGTTCCAGTGGAAGGAACAAGAAGCTGAGAGATCATATCTCAGCTGCAAACATGAAGCAAAGAGTAAGAACAGGACATGGGATCAGGCTGTAATGCCTCAAAGTCCAGCCCCAGTGACATACCTCCTCTAGCAACCTCCACCTCCTAAAGCTTCCATTATGTCCTCAAATAGTATCAAAGACTTGGGACCAAATATTCAAATATTTGGAGCCTATGGGGGACATTTTCCATTCAACCTACTACATCCGCTGTTTGTTCTGGTCTGGTTGCTTTATGTGAAACATTTCCCTCTTAACTCCTACATGAACATTGTACACAGAGATGTTGAGTCACATGGAAAACATGCTACATCGGTTGGTATCAGTTCTCTTTGCTAACTTGTATGATTTTGTAAATTTAATGTGGCTGAGTGAACAGTGTGGGGTGGCCTATACAATAGAAATGTATTTTCTTTGAGTTCTGGACCCTACAAGAACAATGGCAACTTTATACAGGACTCTGTTCGATTTGAAAACCAAGACCAAAGACTTCTTTGTCTTCCCATTGTGTTTGCTATGGTTTCAGCACTGCATTGTCTGTGTTTTGCTCACATGCTTTTGGCCCTGTGTGTCTGGACTGTTTCCTTACCTTGTCCCTCGGCATGGGCCTTCTTTAATGAGTGCCTCACTTGATCCCATCTGCAAAGGCACTCTGTGCAAGTAAAGTGGCATTCTCAAATGTGAGGTGTTACAACTTTGTTGGGACACATTGTGCCCAGAATAAAGCCTTTCCTGATGGACAAACAGGCTTTGGATATGAAACCTGTACTGTGGTAACATCAGTCAGCAAACTTCCCAGAGGAAGGAACACTGGGGACGTTTTCTGTGTGTCTAGAAAAGACTTCAGTAAATTTGATCATTATTTAAGATATCTTGTGTCTTCACTTCCATACAGCTTGATTGGCCCCAAAGACACAGTCAATCCTTGGACTTTTTTCATTCCCTTGGTTTATCATTTGTTCTTTGATTCACTTCCCTGTGATCCCAACCACACAGACCGATCTCTTCCCCCTCTTTGTGCAGGAGCCTTCACCTTATATTTCCTTTGTTTTGTTTGTAGTCTGAAAACAGTCAGTGCTAGGTATCACCAATCACTTGACACTTTAAGATATTGGGATGTGCAAATATTTTTTATATCACCCATCTTGCATAACTGTGCCAGTATACAATGACCATGAAAATACAACATGAAAGGGCATAATTTCCAGTCATCCTTCCTGCCTATTCCCATGGAAACCAATGCACATCTTCATCCTTCTCCTTGTTAACTTCAAAACCATCTCACTCACTTCTTGCATCCCTCTAATTTCCTTCATTATTGAGTATAATTGAATAATTTACCAGCTGACAGGAATACAACTATGAGTTGTGGATAGACCAATGAATATGAGCAAATAATACTTTATCTTACTGGGGAAGTGTATTTAATGCATTTTGTTTCATATGATAGATAGAGTAGTAAGTAGGTACCTGTAACAGAATGAAAGGAACACATCAAAGTGTTGCAGGAAATTTGTGGTATTGTGGTCTCAGAATATTTTCCAAAGTACATATTTCAAAGCTGAGACAAAAACTGGGTAAGGAAGGTATTCTTAAAATAAAGGCAATATCAAATATAAAGTCTTAGGATTGAGTATTAAAAAAGTTGAAGAGTATTCAAAATTTAATCCTTGGCATTGTAGTATGGAGTATGAAGGATATCCAAAGAAGAATCGTGGGGTGGGTACGGATAGGTAAAATGACAGATAGGAGATAAATCTAGCGTTGCTTGTTTTAGGTAGGCAGTGTGACCTCTTTCAAGGAAAATCAATACAATAAGATGTGACAGTCTCAGCTCACTTCTCTTCCCAGACAAAATCACATAAGCAGACATGACTTAGAGGCATTCCCACGCATCCCTTCCATTTTACTTTTACCTCTAAATCATGAATACTTTTCCTCATAACATATCTTTTACTTTCTTGTGGCTGTGATAATGATCATGGCCAAAAGCAACTTAAAAAAAAACATTAATCTCAGTTTATCAATTAGAAATAATGATCTTCCTGAACAAATATTCATATATAAAGTATCCTCAACCATTTTTTCAAATATGCATCATTTAAATATTAACACTGAATGCAAACAGTGTAGTTTGTTTATTTTTATTTCTGGTGGTGCTGGGGATTGAACACCAGGACTTGTGCATGCTGAACAAGAAGTAGACCTCCCTCTGAGCTCTCTCTTCAAATAAACAACATGACTGTGTGTCTCAAATGTAGGTAGATACATATACTCAGGCATAGACTCTTATGACTTTTCGCCTTCTCTCAGAACACCCCTGACCTTGTGATCTCTCTTGATTTTCTTGGGTAGATACAAGGGTACATTCTGGATTTTAATTCTGTTGTCTACATGTACGTCTATGATCTGTGTGCATTCCTGGTATCCACAGAAACCAGAAAAGGGCATCAGACTGCCTGGAACTAGAGTAATAGGTGGTTGTGAGCTGCTATGTGGGTACTGGGAATTGTACCCAGGTCCTCTGAAAACATAGCCACTTCTGTGCCATTGCTTCAGCCTCTGCTGTCTATATTTTATTCACCTAACAAGTTTTGTCTGACCAGTTTTCTCCAAATATCTTCCACAGAACAACACAAAAGAACCAAAAACAAAACAAACCCAACCAAACAAACAAAAAACAACACACACACACAAAACAAGCAAACAAAAAACAAGAAACTTTTAACATGGCTTCTGAGGATCAAACATGGCAGGCATTTTGACCTGAGCTGTTGATACATGTCCTTTCGTCCTTTCTTGCCTTTCCCTTCCTTGTAGTTCCAAATCTCTTGAGCTTACCTGCCTTCATAAATGTTTGGTAAATAAACAAATAATACAGTGTCACTTAAGGTTGATGCTTACCTAAGGAAGAACATTATCTGTGATGGCATTGTGGTCCTTAAACCTGATCAGCTCAGAAGAATTCTTAGTGGATGACAATGTTTTGAGATTGAGTTTCACTCTGCTGTAATATGTGGGTGACTCAATATCCATGAGCTACAAAACTTACATCCATCTGCATTGTTTTGGTTTTGGGGTTTTCTGGTTGAGCATTTTGTATATGTTAGAATCAAGATTCTGGAGTTTGAGTCAGAATGCATAGTAAATGAGAACAGGAAGTTTTCCCCCGGTAGATCAAACATTCTGAAACTTGTTATTGAAGGTAGGTGACAAACAAGTTTAGGGCTGATGAAATAATAGACTTATAGATTTGTAAATGATAGAGGAACTCAAGGAAGTACAGCTATGAATTGGGTCTGGAAGTAATCTGCTAAAGGACTCACTTAGAATTCATAGTCTTGCTATGGCTGTGGAGATAAATACAATTACTATGAATCATGCAGAATTAGAAAGCAAACACAATGAGAACATAATTTAAAACTTTAGAGTTTTTAAAAGAATATCAGAAGAACACTTTGCAAGCTTGCTTGGGGTCTGGAGTTTCTTATCTATGCATGTTTTGCAGGTGTAGAGCATTTTGTTGGAAGAATGCAAGATTTTCGACTTTACTATGTGTCACTTACAAACCTGTAAGCAGATGTTTATTCTAACACTTGGAATATAGAACGATAAGGACAATTCATTTAAATGACCACAGAGACTATAATATTTTTCATCTTTATAGCAATCGGCAAACATTACCTAGTTTATATTTGACCATATTTACTTTGTCATAATTTATACTTATTCACTAATATTTTTTGTCAGAAACTCCTTAGAATATGGGGTGATCAAAAATATTTACAAATGATTTTCTCCTGGAAAATGCATATTGTTAACACAACATAGATTTTAATGTGTTTGTTTAAAAATTCTATATCAGGTAGATGCTAATACTTAAAAACTGATACTTGTGCCTTTCAGATTTGCTTTTAGAAATCACTAGTGTCAGAGAAAGTGAAACAATAAAACAACTTGTTATTTTGTTACATGAGAAAGTTTGAAGGGACAAGGACATAAGAATGATAGAATATTTGAAGTACGGATTTTTTTTTTTTTTTTTTTTTTGTCTATGAGGAACACTCACCAAGCATTCCCTCATTAGAGAGTGGAACAAAAGTCTGTCTTAGGGTTTTCTACAGACAAATTGGTTCCCATCTTGTGCCCATGAGTTTCTAGTTTCCTCTGGAGATACATCTGAAGAATCCCAGCTTAGAATCTAGTGGAGATAGTATGCACTTGATGGTCATTCTTGGTCGCTAGCTTCTTGACTACATCTGGAGTTTACTAAAACTCAAATGTGTGGCTACACCTATGAGGGATCTTTTTCTTAATTAAATCATTTGAAGTAGGAAGTTCCACTTCTAATTTGTATCTTTGAGATGGGAAGCTAGACCTTTAATCCAGGTCTTTTGAGATGGGAAGATTCATCTTCAGTCTGGGCCACACCTTCTCTTGGAAGCCTAGATAAGGGTATGGAAGAAGAAAGTTTATTCTCCCTTTACCTGCTTGCCCTTCCTTTCATTAGCAAGCTCATTCCTTCACTGGCATTAGAGCCTGTTTCTTTGGGATTCGAGAATATACTGAAGACCAGCTGAGACATCCAGTGGAGTGAGCAACTAAACAACTATGGAATTCATGAACCTTCCATTAGTAGACAGCCATTGTTGGACTAGCTGAAACACACACACACACACACACACACACACACACACACACACACACACACACACACACACTCACATACAACCCACAGGTTATTCTATAAGGTCTGTTCATGTAGAGAACCCTAACAAATACAGATCTGTTTTCTTTCTTTCCCTTTTTTCCTTTCTTCCTTCCTTCCTTTCATCCTTCCTTCCTTTCTTTTTTTTTTTTTTTCTTTCAGAACTTGGTAGTAACAGAGTCACCCAGGTAGTGCTGATTATGAAGGCAGGAAGAGGTGGTGAAGAGTAGCTGAGTCTTGACATTGTGTGGAAGGGTTGCAGTTTCTGAAGAGAACCCTAGAGAGGCTATTGGTGAAAGTGTAGCCCAGTTGTAGCAAGAGACCCCAACATTTCTGGGATGCCAGTCATCCACAGACAACAACATGTATGGAGTGGATCCAGTCTGAGCCTAGGAGATAGCAGCATGTGCTGCAGAGGGCAGAGCCAGAGAAGTGACCCACATGTTTTGGAGGAGCCCAGAGATCATGAGTGAGACCCAGATATTGGACATTGAGTTGTTTCTCTGTTGGAGTATGGTTTTCTTTATTCAGATTATGACTATGCCCGGGCTTTTCCTTGTTGAAGTAAAAAAGATTTTAACTTAATTTTGATTTTTATAGGAGTCCACAGTTGAAAAAAATTTGAACTTTGAAAAGAGACTTTGGGTTTTTAAAGAGAATGGATATTTTAAACACTGAATTTTCATGCATTTAAATTGGTAAAGACTGAGGGAATTTTATAGTTATTTATGTTTTAATATTGAGGAGTAATAAGAAAGGAAAAGTTGTGACTTAATAGTGATACTTTGTGTGCCAGTCTGACAAGGGGTCAATTTTTTGAGTTTTTTTTTCTGTCAGTTTGCCAGAAGCTAGTCAATGGAGAGGAGGGACCCTCCAAAGACACTAATTCCATACGATCTGCTTGTAGGCAAGCCTGTAGGGCATTTGCTTAATTAGTGACTGATTGTCCATGGGGACAGCCTGACCCATTGTGGGTAGTGCCATCCCTGAGCAGGTGTGTAGGAGAAACTTTGGCCAGCCTATCCCAGCAGCAATCGCCCTGCCCCCAGTACCCAGGCCAGCCTGCAAGAGCAGGAGCATGCACATGCATAGCAGGCACTTCTTCCCTGATCCAGACTGCCAAGCCTGACTCAATGCCCAGAGATACCTGACCAGAGACAAAAGGACAATTCACAGTCAGCCACCTGAGCCAATGGGATCTTGGGAGAGGGTATAAAGGCAGGCATAACTTCCTGAATAAACAAGTCTGCAGTACGCTCTGCTACTCACTGACTCAGTGCCTGAGTAGTTGGTGCTTCCTCCTCTCACCGACTCCTCCAAATGGTGTCTGAGCAGGGTAACCAGCAACACAGGTGGTCCTGGGTTTTATAACAAAGCAGACTGAGCAAGCCATGGCAGCATCCATCCGTGGACTCTGGGTCAGCTCCTGCCTTCAGGTTTATTCCATTTATGTTCTTATCCTGACCTCCTTCAATGATGAACAATGGTGTGGAAGGGTAAGCAGAACCATCCTTTTCTTTCCAGGTTGCTTTGGTTACAGTGTTTTATCACAGCAATAGTAACCCTACCCAAGACAGTGTGTGTATATGGAATAGTTGTCCTTATTTACTTCTTAAGTATTTAGTTTTGTGGAGGGAGGGAGGGTGGGAGAGAGAGAGAGAGAGAGAGAGAGAGAGAGAGAGAGAGAGAGAGCTGGTATGAGGAGGTTTGCATGCAGAAGTCAGACAACCTCCGCTGTCCATTCTTGACTTTTACCTCATTTGGAGACAGAGGCTCTCATTTCAGTCATTATTCAGCATAGCTCAGGCTAGTTGGCCTACTTCTTCTAGGAATCCGTCTGTGTCTTCTATCTGAGTGTGAGGGCTGGGATCACAAATGTGCCCTACCAAGTCTGACCTTCTCATGCGATCTGGCCATCTGAACTCAGATTATCAGGCTATTGCTGCAGGATAGCTGCTGAGATATTTCCCTGCTCCCCGTTTACTCTTTTCAAGGGAAAAAATTTCCTTTTTTTATAAAATCTTTCTCCAAGGGAGATGTAGATTAGTGTGTTAAATCTTTTCATGTGAGGACTAACTCTTAGATATTAGAGAAACATCTCAAACAAATGATCCTGTAGCTTGTGGTAGACACATGATCAACTTAACCTTCCTTGTTTCCCAGTCTGAGGAATTGGGGGTGCCTGGACAAGGACACCAACCATACCATGGGACAGGGAGGAAATGGGATGCCCCTTGCTCACCATCTTTCACATCTCCATTGCCTGTGCATACTATGCTGAAGAGTAATGTCACAGCTTTCTTTGGAATGAAGTTTTTCCCAGCCAGAGAAAAGATTTTGTACCAGTTATTGACTTTGGAATGCATTCAATAGCTGATGTCAATTGGAAACCATCAGTGAGATTTCGAGTAGTTACTTCATGTCCCTTAGTGAAAGAAAAAGCCTGCCACCTGCACCATCACCTCACTGGGGCAGAATGGAAGCCTGTTTTTTTTCTAGTCAGATGCGGGTTATTAGTGTTGACTGTCTGGAAGAGGGTGATGGGGAGGCTAGGAAGAGAATGTCCTGGGCAGCTCCATAGCAGGCATATTCTTAATGGAAAAATTCAAAACTATGCCTGCCCCTGGCATTCTTGTCTGACTGTTGGCAGCCGGTGTATGGTCTAAAGCCATTGAAACATTTCAGGAAGCCAGACTCTCACAGATGAGTCACAGGAAATCATTGACAAATGGCCTTGGCCTCAATCCCTTTACCCAAATGAGAAGCCTATACAATGATGCATGCTTTCTTATGCTTTCCCCTGGATGAACTGGAGATGTCATCTTAAATCTCATTATTTTCAATATATTGCTGTTCACTCAGAGTATAAGTCAGTTTAAAATCTAGATATACGACTCCTTTCTGCAACACACATAGGCACAGTGATATTAAATTACGTAAAATACCTTGATAAAGAGCAAGGGCTTACACATGCTGCTTCCTCTTCTTGTCCCTCTGTTCTTTCCTTTACTGGTTCTAGGAACTGAACACAGGGCCTTACAGACAAGAGGCAAGAGCTATATCACTCCCATGCCTCCAACCCTCTTTTTACCTTGTATTTGGAGACAAGATCTCAGTAAGTTGATCAGGCTATCCTTGAACTCTCTTTACAGCTCAAGCAGCTCTTCAATTAAAATTCTTTATGACAGCATTCAGAAAAGCTGGAATTACAGGTGTGTGCCACTGGCTTGGCTAGCCATTCTTGTTGTAGCTCTTCATGGTCATTGAGATGGCTCCGATGTCAAAAGTGCATGATATACAAGCTCTCTCTCTCTTTCTCTCTCTCTCTCACACACACCACATTTTTTTAAGAGTTAAAACAAAAACCATATCATTTTCGAAGGACATTTGTCTTAGTGTCTTTCTTGTTGACATGACAGAATGATCTCACAAAAGTAACCTAAAGGGTATGTTTGTGCTCATAGCTCAGGGTATCATCCACCACGTGGGAAAGTGAAGACAGACTGAGCCACTGTCCACATCATATCCACTGTGGAGAGGCAGACAGGGAGGGATGCTTGCTTGCAAGAACTGAGATTGGTTTTCTTTATTTCACAAAATCCAAGATATCTACAAAAAAGCATCATCCTGACCACAATTAAGATGAGTCTTCCCACATCAATTGATGTAATATCTAGATAATCCCTTACAGACATTCTTGGAGGATACTGTCAGTGCAGACAATCCTTCACCGGCATGCTTGGAGCCTTGCCTCCCAGGTAATCCCAGGTTCTGTGAAGTTAACAATCAACCTTCTCATCATCACAGAACTTTAGGGTAGTATATGTACTCATTTTTCCAAAATGAGTTTTATTTTATATTCCATTAGAAAAATTATTAAAGCTAAATGGTCAGTCGTCACAACACCAGAAGGGTGATATCAGCTCTTAGGAGTTCTGTCACTGGGAAGTTGTGTGTCCTTGCCATCTTCTCTAGAGATTCTGGAGTTCTTTTCTGGAGATCTCTCTTAGTTGCACATCCATCCACATTGCCATTGCCCATGCAGCTGCCTCTGTGCAGCAGTACTGAATTCCCAGTGGTGCAGAAGGCAGGCACCATCATCGAGTATCATGGCTGAATCCTGAAGCCCATCCTCTGTCCTTCATCAACGATGGTGACATTGCTACTTCATGGATTTCCTGTGTGTTTTAAATCCTTACACAGCTCAGTCAAGGAGTGCTTATTTCCATAGACTTGGAAAATGGGCATTACCAGGTAATCAGAGACAGTGGGGTGGGTGTTCATGCTCTAGAGACTTCATGTCCTTGAAGAAAAGAAATGTCTCGCAGTCCGGAAGACCCTAAATGTTCAGTAAACGTGTTAGTATCTCTACCTCTCGGCCTTCCTTCCAGAGGAAGAGTCTTGCTTGCCTCTTTCAGCTTCTAGTGATGTCTGTTAATTCATGGACCTGTAACTCCTGGTCCTGCCCATTTTTGCAGATCCCCTTCCATGTTTCTCAGAGTGTTAATTTCCTCCTCTCTTTCTCTTTAAATAGAGTGATCTCTTTTTAAGATCCTTAGCTTTATTAGATCTATAATGGTTATTTCCAAGAAGGCTATGCTTACAAGCATCTGCAGTAACTTCTTGAACATATTTACATGGATGTACACTACATCCACTGCATGGCAAAAACCAGAGTTGTAATGAACGAAATTATAATAGCTAAAACTGACATCCAATGTTTCATGTTTAGGGATTTATATTAAAATGAAATTTATGAAATATTTAAACCTTCTTTTAAAAAGAACATATATTTATAGGGCAGGTGCTTATTCTTATGTACTTCCTGAGAGTTGTTTTCTTTGTTCATACTTTAGAATAAACACAATGGGATCAATGTGATTTACAAAATCATTGAGAATGGAAAGAAATATGTAACTACAGAATACATTGCTTTTCCTGTAGGTCTGAAGTTCCTAGATGTTCCTTAAGTTGTCCATCACAATAATTAGAAGGAGTATTTATATTCAAATCTGAAGTCTCAGTGTTTTGCTTCTTAACCATCCATGGCAAAAATAATGGACATATCCATTGCCAGGTATTTCGAATCATCATTCACTTCTCCAGCCCACAGCCTGCAGTGATAAGGATCCATAGTAAGAAGGCAGACAGCTCTCCCTGTGAGGACTGGAAGTATTTTGCTAAAAACTGCAGAATTTGGGGGAATGAAAGACAACCGAGATTTGGAAAATCTTGATTCTGTCAAGTGCCTTCAGTTGCCTGAGTATGAACACTTTCAAAACAATTAATTTTTATAAATCAGTCTTTGTCCTAAGCTGTGGGCCAGGAAGCTGACTATATTAGAAGAGATCTCTCTCCATCACTGATTTTAGGGAGTTACTCCCCACCCCCCCCAACCCAGTTGAAATTTAAACTGCTTACAGTTCCCATAAAGGGCAGAAGTATTCATATTTACAATCCACTATTGCTATCTAATATGGTACTCATCTTATTCAGCCATCCATCTGCATCTGTGTTCCCATGAAACTTCTAGTCAGCTTCTCTGTGATGATCCTGCTTTATTTATATGTGAAATAAATGGAATGTATGTTTCCTAAGACTGAAGAACTTTGCCAGTTTCCTGACACTGTGTAGAAATAACCCAAACTTGTGATTTCTGTTTGATCAAAACCATGAATAGCTTCTTAAAATAAAAACTTTCTTTCCCTGACAGTTTTACCTCATTTTCTCATGGTAATGTCACCTTTGACCTCCTGCCACCTGGGCAGAAGCGGCATCCTTGGTACGATGACTTCTACAATAGCTCACTGCTTCAAGAGTGCATGAAAGCCACTCAAGTAAGGTCATACTTCACAGGTAGTACTATCCAGCCCAGCACACTGCTGACCTGAGACACAGATACTATGCAGTGGATGAGATCACCATCAGTGGGAGGTAGTAATTGGTCACCAGAGGTTTGAATGCATTTTCTTTTAAATCCGGTGTTTGTTGTACTATTAAAAAAATATAGTAGCTGAATTCTTGGAGCAGGCCAGATTCTAAGCTTTTATATTCTAAAATGACTTCTTCTATAGTTTAATGGAGAGCATTATATTTGATGCCTTACCAGCACTTTATATAACCTTCTAATCAATGAATTTTTCAGAAGATAGTCTACCCAGAAAGCACAATATTCTGAAGGTTGAGAATGTGTTTAGTGGTTGAGTAAGCTTAATCCTCAGACAGCAAGGAAAAACTATGAGACCCTCAATATGGCATAGGCAGAATTTATCATACATTTTATTTAGTTTATTTTATAATATAATTTAAAAATATTCTCTATATTAAAAAGGAGGAAAAAATTTGGGTTGTAGCTATAGTGCTAGCTAGATAGCATGTAAGTGTCACACTTGGTCTTTTCAAGGTCATAATTTAAAGTTCTGTAAGGTCACCTGTCTGTCATTAGAAAAGAAATATATCATGCCCTTAACTACTGATAAATTTATCATCACAGTTAAGAATATGACTCACGAAGAAAAAAGTATCTGTTTGGTATGGCAAAGTATGGCAAATGGAGTGTTATAGAAAAATGGTGTATTTAAAGAGATATCCTAAAATAAGAATACCAAAAATATCAACATTGATTTGATATGTAATATAATAACAAAAGAAATACTATTAAATAATATTTTCCATCTTACTCTGAAACCAAGAGCAAAAATTAGAATCTACAGTTTCTTCTTAAGTGTACCTTGAATGATTTCAACAATTGCCTTCCTGGGACAAATTCCACATGGTTGGAGAGAGTCACTGTGCACCCTCTCACCTCCCTTTCCAAGGTGTCTTCACAGTTACCTTTACAAACCATTGAGTTTGGGTCTACACAGTCAGAAAGAGTCAGGTTTGCCTTTTCTCAAATGTGCAGGGTGTTTGTCCACAGGATCTTAAATGTGTTGACAGTGACTTGCTTCTGAGGTGTGTGGGATGCTCACATTCACAGATGTCAATGCCACAGACATGCTGAGTCCCGCAACAGCACAGGCGTCCTTATAGATGCTTCTTTTCTCCACTAGCTTCGTCAAAGGACCCTAGGTGTGTTGCTTCCTCCAGGAAATCTAAAAGGAAATGGGAAGGGTAAATATAAGTGAACAGAAAGTTAATTTTGGTATATCTTCAGAATACACGTTAATGGATAAGAACTTAAAATACCAGTTTTTCTTAAAATATTATCGCAGAGAAATGTAGATATTGATAAAGTTGAAAGTTGGGTGTTTAAAACTATTTCCAGAGAAACTGCATCTGAAATAAAACTCTCGGGCTTTTTACCCCCTTTCTCTCTCTTTGTTCATTTGTCAGCATTGTATATTAATGAAAATAACATTTAAAATAACATTTAAATAGACTGACACTAAACAGTGAACGTTTTGATTTCTTGCTCTGGAAAAATATTTGCTTGAAAGAACCTGTAACACATGGGTGTGGTGCACATCTGCAACCCTGCACCAGAGAAAGGAGAGGGGGTCGAAGTGCCTCTATTATAAGCTTGAGAAGTTACCATGACATCCATAATATTCATGTGAAAAGCTGGGTATAGTGGTGTACACTTGTTATCCCAGTGTTAGGGAGACAGAGATCAGTGGGTTTCCAGGGCTCACTGGCCAGTTAGCTTAGTATATTGGATGAATTCCAAGATAAAAGAAAGTTGGTGTCTGCAAATGAAGTGAACAGAACCTGAGGAACAACATCTAAGGTAGCCTTCTGGCCTCCATGCATATCACATGTGAACACAAACAAACATGAATATGGACACTCAGATGGGCCTGGAGAACTTGTTTATAAATTTATGATTTAAGTCTAGCAGAGAGAGATGTTCCCTGGGCTTATGTTAGTCCATGAGACACACTGATTGAAGAACCACTAATCTACAAGACCATGTTCATGCAATACAAATGACACAGGTGTAATTGTGGTATAGTTTACAATATTTGAAAATTTAATGTTAACTAATATGACTCAAATGCTATGGAAAAATCTCATGCAAATGTCAGATTTACTAGTGGTATTTACAAGATTGGATTCTTAAACATTTTGTTAATTCGAGAGATTAAAAACACTATTTGATTATGATGTGAACATGCTTGATTAAAACCAAGGTTTGCATCACTTTTCATGTCTACAGACTACTACTACCATGTCATCATCGTTATTATTATTATTATTATTATTATTATTATTATTATTATTTTGTGTATATATGGAAGCATATTTGTATGTATTGCAGTGCAATATATTTTGCAATATTTGGGAATATCTTGTCTTTAAATAAATCATCTTCCAAGTTTTGGCAGGGTGCCTCTCTGTCCTCTGAGAGACTTAATCCTATCTAAATTGCTCTCAACTGCATCATTAGTGTGTGAAGCCTCGATGGTCAGAACACACTCTAAAATGCACATGTTGTCTGGTGCTTTGGGGATGTACTGGAGAAGAAAATAGAGGCTTGTGCAAGCTACACAAGTGTTTTCTTACTGAGTCATGCTCTGAGCCTTTGCTGTCTCCTTGACATCATTTGTTTGTTTGCCAATGTTTATTTTGTGATTGAATCTTTAAAGAGTGCTTTTACTGATCATGATCTTGATTTGCAGCCCAGGCAGGACTTGAACTTATGATATTGCTTCAGCCTTTTGATTACTTGGTATTATAGGCATAGACCACCAAATTAAACAATAAAGATTCTTTGTTTTGTTTTGTTTGTTTGTTTGCTTTGCTGGTTTTTTATTTTTCGAGACAGGGTTTCCTTTTGTCAGCCTGGCTGTCCTGGAATTAGGTCTGTAGACCAGGTTGGCCTTGAACTTGAAGAGATTACATTGCATCTACCTTCTGAGTGCTAGGACTAAATTTGTGCAACATCACTGCCCATCAAGAGGGTTATTTTGTTTTTAAATAATTTTAGTTCTATTGCTTTCAATATTGTTTCCAAAATTAATTGAATTAGATGGATGAATTTACTCTTTATTGAGTCATCAACACAAATGTGAACATCACACACACACACTTTGGCAACTGGATTCTACATTTGCAATTAAACATTTATTCATACTGACATTTTTCTACCTATTGTCATGTTGTCATACCTGGAAACCACTTCTCCACTTACTGCAATTAGTGATTTCTTTATTTTTTTTATTTTTTATTTTTTTGCTTTTTCTTAGTCCACTAACAAACCAGTTTAAAAATTGCTCTGGATGGACTTAGCAGGGTACATTGAACTGAGTCTAGTTGGTACCTACAAGCTAAGCTTTAGCCTGGCATATTCTTTCTCACAATGTAGAGACACACACTTTCAGATAACATGGCACTGCTTAGCTTCCCCTGCCTGATGTAGGATGATGCCTTCTGTTCCAGTCTCCTGCCCTTCATTCTCCTGTCGTTATGCCCCTTCTCATTTTATTCTTTCTAATTGCTCACACTGATGGGGTTGATATCTTATGATTCTTTGGGTGATTTCATACCTCTTCTTTAAAAATAGAAATTAAGTGAGTCAAGATTCATGATTGGTTTTGGAAGTCAAATTGGGATTGTCATACTTGTCAGGTGGTACCTGTTGGATTCAGGTCCAGTGAATTAATTAACTATAATTTAGGTTGAGAATATATTCCAATGCTTCTTATTTAGATGGTATCTTTGGAAAGCATGAAAAATTAGACCTGTAAATTTTTCTTTTTGTTCAAATTGATAATTCACAAATTTGGTTTTAAATTAAAAAAATGCTGCCAATGCAATTTTCTTAGAAGAGTTTGCCAAATGCAACTGAAGGGGAAAAACCAATACTCTATTAAGTTGTTTTGAAACTATCCAACCATAAATGTTTCATGTTCTACTTTTTAAAAATGTCGTGATTTAAGGCATTTCTATCCTGTGGGACACCATGCTCTTTTTAAAGACCTGGAGAAGGACTAGGAAGAATGTCTGCCATTCGCAGTGTTAGGCTAACCAAAAAGGGTAGTTTTCAATCAATGTGGCTTTTGTGAGTTACTGCAATTTGGAAAATCAGGGAAAGTGTAAGCCTTGAGAGCCTGCCAGTTCATGGCAATTTTCGTTTCTTTGGGAAAGTGTGTTTGGCAGAAATGATAGGGGGTGAACTTGAGAGAGAAGGAAGAAGCATAAATTCAGGGGTTTGGCTTGCAGGAACAGCACTCATACTTCCTTCTATTGTTCATCAAGAGGCAAAGCGAAGTCCAGGAGTGGGAAGAGTGCTTATAGTTTTGATATTCCTTTCAAATGGCTTTTTCATCTATTTTATTTTATTTCATCAGGAAGTGTTCACTACTATATTAGTCTTCTGTGATAACATCTGGTTGAGTACAGGTAGTAATTACCACACTTAAGTAATTCCTTGATTTTGGTTTTTTACCACACTTTGTACCACCCATAGTCTTGTATCAGGGAGACTTCAAAGAAGTGAACCATCCAATTTCTTGAACTATGGAGACTTAAGCAGAACACACTGATAAACTGACATACTACAAGATTTATTATTCATGATACAGCCCAGTTTGCTGTCTATTGCTGCCAATGGCTAAAAGTATGTTTTAACCTTTCATAGCAATGGAAATTAAGAATGAAGATCCAGTCAACTTAATACTAAAGACTGTGCTTTCCCTGAAATGAATTAAATCTGGACTTATTTTTCCCTGTTTTTTTTCCATTATAATTTGTAATTGCTAGAATGTGGGCCCTGGAGAGGCTCCTTTAATAATATTTCTGAGGAACTCTGATATATTTTGCATTATATTGCCAATTTCAGTTTTTGACTTTAATATATGATATGTACCATAAAAATAATGGCATATTTCATCAATAGAGAACACTTTGAGAGGGCTTGTGATGTGTCTTCCCAAAGAAGACCAAAGCAGCACATGATTAATGTGCTCAAGCTATTTAAAGATTGATCCAAGGCAAAACAAATTCAAAATACTAGATACTAGACATTAGCTCTCAAGCTGAATTAAGTATTTCCAAGTAGAAGTCAGGACTGCATGGCATTGAACTTGCATTAATCATCAGATACCTGGCAAGGAGGATCATGTTTTCCAATGATTACTTTTATTTTGTTAAGAGTCATTACTGCCAATGCACATATTTTGGGGTTGTTTACAAGTCTTTTATTTTGAGTTAACTGTATATTCACATATAGTTTTCGACAAGTAACACAGATTTTGTGTTCCTATATTCATCTGTACCCATAATGATAGTTTCCAAAGCTGTTATGTTTTAATTTCTTTTAGAAGATATGATTTGTATACCATAAGTCACACTCGTTAAATATCCAGAGTTGGAAGAGTTTGGGCAGTTGTGTAATCACCAGCCTATCAGGATAGAGAATTTTTCCCTTTCCCCTGACCCTCTGTTACATTTTCTGATGTCAGGGCTCTGCCTGCACCCCCAGTCCCATTAGCTTCAAATGTGGTCAGTGTTTATTCTTCTAACACGCAGGTTTTGAATCTCACTCTACCGACTCCCTCCATTTTTCTAACTACTCATGGCAATATCTTTATCAAAATAGGGAGCTTGCATTTCACTTGGACAGGTCACAAGCTTGAGAAGACCCATTCCAGAGTATTGGTTCAACTCCTAAAGCACAATAGAACCTAGGAATTTTGTGGGTCTGATATTGTATATTTTTATATGTTTGCTGATGTAGTTGCACAACATAATCTACTTTCTAATTCTCTTACCTTCTTCTCTGCTGCCTTTTTATTTGTTAGTGTACTTTGAAGGTGAGTTCTCAGGTAGCCTCATGCTTGTTATAAACCAAGACAACCTTTGAACTCCCGGTGCCCCTGCCTTCACCTCCAACGAATGTAGCTACAAACCTTTGACACAATGCCCGATCTTATCTAGTACTTACATGTTTTAAAGGTTCAAGTGTTGATTGAATCTATCTTTAAGAAAGGTGTTACTGGGTGAACCAGTAATAAAATGCATTTTCCTTTTACTAGCTATGGTCCAGGCCAAGAGTGATGCAATGGCCAGGATGTTGGCC